CGCGCGTTCGGATTGCGTTTTGGAGGTCCGTAGCTAATTTAGGCTTGAAATGCCGAAAGTTGAATTTTTTGAAGTTTCCGATTCGATAGTGAGATTTTGATCCGAGGGTCGGAATGGAATTCCAGAAGTTGGAGTAACTGCTTAGTGTTGAATGTGACGTATGTGCAAAATTTCAGGCCATTCGAACGAGGTTTGATAGACTTTTTGATCGAAAGCGTATTTTTGAGGATTTTGGAGTTCTTAAGCTTAAATCCATGGTTAATTCGAGGTTTTGATGTTGTTTTAGGTGTTTTAAGGATTGGTACAAATTTGGGTAGTGGTTTGTGACTTGTTGGTGCCTTTGGTTGAGGTCTCGGGGGCTTCGGGGAGAAATCAGATGGTTGACGGAGGAAAATTTGGAGTTTAAGTTGCAGCTCCAGCTGCTGGTGCTGTCATAACCGCACCTGCGGTTTGGGTTCTGCAGGTGCGGAGCCGCAGAAGCGGCTAAGCGGCTGCAGCAGCGGAATTTTGGCCATCTCTTCAAGAAACGCAGATGCGGTATATTTTCCGCAGAAGCGGTACCGCACCTGCGGGTGAAGGGCCTCAGATGCGGAATCGCAAATGCGACATCTTTTCTGCAGAAGCGGGACCAGATGCGGTCCCAGGACCGCAAATGCGAAAACTGCTGGGCATTATATTTTAAAAGGGGTTCCGTGACTTTGAGGTTTATTTCACCATTTTTATCTTGGCTTGGGAGCTTTTGGGACGATTTGAAAGAGGGATTTCAAGGGAACTTCATTGAGGTAAGGAATTTGGACCTAAAACTCGTTCTTATGTGATTATTTCACGGATTAGAGCTAGAAATTTTAGAAATTAAGGGTGAAATTTGGGGAAACTAGGGCTTAGTATTGGAGACCTTTGAGTGATGATTTGAGGGACCATTTGAGGTCCGATTTTGGTAATTTTCGTATGCATGAACTCGTGAGACTGTGACGATTCCGAAAATGTAAATTTTACCCGATTCTGAGACGTGGGCTTGAGGGGCGTTTTGGTTATTTTACCTAATTTCGCGTATTAGCTTAGAATTTAATTGTGGAATCAGTTACTTGAGGTGTTATTTACAATATGCAATTGAATTGAATAGATTTGGGCCATTTGGAGTTGGATACTCGTGGCAAAAGCGTGATTTCGGGTTGATTTGAGCTTGTTCGAGGTAAGTATCCTGCCTAAACTTGTGTGGGGGACTTCCCCTTAGGATTTGAGCCTTCCATGCTAATTGTAGTCCATGCATGCGAGGTGACGAGTCTGTCCTCGGACTTATTTGTGGGAAAAATTTGCCTTTAGGGTTCTTAGGTTCTTATGTTCATCATATGGGAAGTATTCTGTTATGATTGAGTTATCTAATTGCATAATTTACCCCTATATGCTCCATACGATGTTGTTAGCCTTTCTCTAACTCTTACCTGTTACTTGGCCTTAATTGCCTTAATTGAATTAGTTGTTCTTTGTTGTTTTGATAAGGTTATTGTGCTTTCTTAGTTTCTCCGTGATTCTCTTGTTGCTATGTAGTCATACTCTTGGTGGTGGAACTTCCCTCTGATTTGGATTGTTGGATTGTTGGACTGTTGTTAATTCCCTTGCCGGGATGTATTGTCTATATTGTTGATTCCCTTGCTGGGATGTGTTGTCTATATTGTTGATTCCCTTGCCGGGATGTGTTATTTACATTGTTGCTTCCCTTGCCGGGATGTATTGTTTATATTGTTGATATTCCCTTGCCGGGATGTTATTGTTCATATTATTGGCTCGGGATACCAAGAGACTCTCAGCACCTATATTGAGGATACCAAGAGATCCTCGGGATACCAAGAGATCCCCAGCACTTATATTGAGGATACCAAGAGATCCTCGGGATACCAAGAGATCCCTAGCATGTATATTGAGGATACCAAGAGATCCTCGGGATACCAAGAGATCATCGGGATACCAAGAGATCCCCAGCACCTATATTGAGGATACCAAGAGATCCTCGGGATACCAAGAGATCCCCCAGCTCATATACTGAGGATACCGAGAGATCCCAAGTATTTACGTTTAGGATTACGGGATCCCGGGAGATCCCCTGTCGATATTCTGTGAGTGTAAAAGCACGAAGGGTGATGTCGTGCACTTTCTGTTTGCCGTGTGTATTGTTGTGATCAATTCAAGTGTTTTAATGGGTTAGATTCCCTTACTGCTGTGATTCTCTATGTTGGAACCCATAGTATTGTCAACATCTCGTCGTATATATATATATATATATATATATATATATATTTCAATACTTCAAACTTCAGAAACTTCTACATTTTTTACTCAATTAGTTTCTCAACTAAATTTTTCCTTAATCGTCTGAGGTTGTTTTCTACTTAAAAGGGACTTCTACTAAGTTATAAATTATTAAATCCCGTGGTAAAGGGAGTAATTCATACAACATTGTATTCCAATTAAAAATGGTACTTTCTTTATTCAAATAATTTTTAAAAATAACTTCATCTTTTCTCGCTGGCTTTCCTAATTAGTTTAGAATTTGTAATTTACTTATATTAGGTAAATGAGACTTCTTGAACATCTTGAGTGCATTTGTGCGGACATTTGTGCTAATGAACACCTATGCAAAGAATCAGTAGTTTAGAAATCCACTTCACACCATGATCATAATACTGACAGGCCACAACAGGCTATGGATGTGATCCCTCAACCAATCACCCTTACCCAACCACAACCCCCTTCTAAAAGTTTATCCAGCACAAACAAAAAAAAACCCTTCCTAAAGTTTCTTCCAACTTTAACAAGCCTGTCAATCCAAAGACTCACGTGCCACAACTTACTTTCCAACTTTGACAAGCCTGAAAGATAACCTATACAATTCATACCTTCAAGGATTACACACTCCGTGCAAGGACATGCAATTTTTTTTCCATCTTGTTTTTCAGAAAAAGGCATGATTTAAAAAATCCTTTACTCCATTTAAATATTCTTTACTAACTCTATCACAATACATCCAGCTTTTATTTCTGTGATTGTCCCGACGTTCAAGATTTTCCTTTCTTTTCTATAATTACTGCAAGAGCTAAAATTTGTTAGTAAAATGGAGGAATTAATCAAAAAGGTAGTTTAAAATAAAATAACCATCCTATTAATTAGTAATTCCATAGCTCAAAGATAGCATTTTAACAATTAAAACTATCGTTTTAACAATTAAACTATCAACAGTTAAACTATCTCTAGTTTCTTCCATGGTTTTCATATATTGGTTCAAAAAAATTTTAAGAATACAATTATTAAAATTATAAATTAAATTTCTTCTATGGTTTTCATATATTGGTTCATAAAATTTTTAAGAATAGAATTATTAAACTTATATTTTTTAGAAGAAAATATATCATATATTTTAAAATTTCCAAAACTTACAACTCCTATTTGTTGATTCTCCAAATATATACTCCATTTTTATCAAAAATCACAAATTGGTACCTGGTAAGCAAAAAAACATTCCGATATAGTCGCTCTGAATTTGTCTCTATATCCTCTTTTGTTCAACTATTCTACACTCATTATTCACTTCTAATCAATATATTTGCTCATTCTAGTAACTTGAGCGAGATACATATACCACTAACACTAAGGATGTGGTATTTTAAAATCAATAAACACAATAACCAACCAATAGAGTACTCTTTACTAGTTTGTGACAAGTACAATATACAAACTTATACACCTTATGTGTGCACGCGTATGAGTAGTGTATTGCATGTACACATACACGCACAAGAATATATAGTTCCTGATAAAGTTTTTCAAAAAGCTGTTAAAAAACTTTTCTAATAATTATATAACCAAGAAATTTCAAGGCCAATGGAGCACGGTTTGAAACTCAATGGATAATGGATAAGCCCTTTACTCTTCTCTACTTCCAAGCTTGTTCGGACTCTTCTCTCAAGTTATTTTCAAAGCAAACACCATTAATGCCATTTGGTTAAGAAAAAATTTCCACTATTTTTATTTTCACTCGTTTTAAAATCAAACTCCAATGTTCCACTATTGAAACCTCAAACCAATAAAAGAAAGAAAACCATATCCAAAGCACAAAGCTAAATAAAATAGAACTTGTTTTACTCCTTATTTACTTGTATATATGAATGAAATCCTGATATATTACAAAACAGTTATAACATCTGCCTGCAAAGGAAAACAGTGCTCCTTTATATCACATGTATTGCCCATACACATATCATAAATTAAATATATTCCCTATACACTGCAAAGGAATCAATTTAGTTAATGACTATCAATTTAACAGCAACCATTAATCACAAACGATTTAGCAAACACAGAAAAAGCAATACTTTCACAAATCTCAAAATGAGATAGTTGGATATAAAAAATCACAAATTGGTACCTAGTAAGCAGAATTTTTTGCCGATAGTTCGATATTAAAAATCACAAATCCGATGGAGAAGAATGATTTCTGCTAGAATCACAAATCCAACTCATGGATTGCAACAACCACTTTATTGTAATGCTATTATATACCTTAATAATGTACAATTGCTTTTTGGTCAATAATCAACTTAGTTGGAATTGATCTTTAGCGAATATCTTTTGTTCGATTATGCTAAGGGAGGCCTGCCTGACATTAATAAACTTAATATCAGTCCTCTGCTCCTATAGTATGACGATAAGCCAAACTCCTAATTTTATTTTTCTTAGTTCATATCTTAAACTGAGGAAAAAAAGAATTTTATTAATATGAGAATCTATAGACTTCCATAAACAATAGTGTTTCAACCTTGCTTTATCGTGTAATACTGCCATTTACTTTCGATGCATTCAAGAGTTAATTCTTCCACCTACTGTAAATCAATTGAGAAGTATATGAGAATATGAGAATCTATCGTGGAGTACTGCTATTGTAAATCAATCAAGCGGCATATTGTAAATCTATTGCAAGCAACCTGCTGGGTAAGAAGAGATGTTACCTGGGAAGAAGAGAAGTTACCTAGGAAGAAGATGGCCGGAGACTATGGCAGGCCGGAGACTGTGGTAGACATCGATTTTCTTCACGCATATTAGGTTTTTCTAATGGTGGCCACAGAATCCTATTGTTTCTATTCCCTTTCGATTAAAAGGAATATGTTTTCCTAATGTTTTCTGATTGGAGGGAATCGGTAATTTTTCTCCTAAAAAAATTGGAGGGAAAGATGTTTTTCTTTTCGTGTGAAGGGAAAGTTAAACTAAAAAAAAATTAATTTCAATTAGTGATTTTTAGTGGCAATTCTTTTTTTATTATCGCTAAAAGGGTATCTTTTACTGGCTAATGGTCATGTGCCGCTAATATTTTAGCTTAAAGAATCTATTAGCGACAATTGACTTATTCCCGCTAAATAATTGTCGCCAAATGCCTTTTTTGTAGTAGTGCTACTGCATTTCCTATTCAAACATGAAGCTATACTTAGGAGACGTGGTTAATGGTTGAAATTGTCATAATATATTTTTCCACTTCTATGTCATCCGTTGTACTATTAGCATTAGATATGAGAATTTTCAAAGTGGTCTTGTATTTTTTCGTGTAATAACAGGGACAAGGTTGTTAAACAATGGAGACAACCAAGGAGGGCTTCAAGGCACTTAGTATTTTTCTCTTATGGGATGTATATGCATACAATGACAATGACGTATTATGCATTATATATGTAATTCGCATTTTAGTAATGGAAGTATTTAATATCCGACTTAAGAAATTCTTTTGGTGTTTATAATATAACGACCCGTACGGTCATTTTGAGAGTGATAGCCCCAATCCCCTATTTACTGCTTTCCCCGTATCTTTTTCTGCTTATGTGACTTGTCGGGAGGTTTTGTTTTGGTTTTTGGAGTGTTTTGGGACACTTAATCCCTAAACGGAGGCTTAAGTATGAGGATATTGACTGTAGTTAGAACTGTATGAAGACGACTTTGGAATGGAGTTTCGTCAGTTCCGTTAGCTCCGTTGGGCGATTTTAGACTTCGGTCCATGTCTGGATTGTGTTTTAGAGGTCTATAGCTTATTTAGGCTTGAAATGGCAAAAGTTGAATTTTTGGAGACTCTGACCGGTAGTGGACATTTTGATATCGGGGTCGGAATCTGATTCCAGAAGTTGGGCTAGGTCCTTAATGTTGAATATGACTTGTGTGCAAAATTTGAGGTCAATCGGATGTGGTTTGATGGATTTCGGCATCATTTGTAGAAATTTAAAGTTTCAAGTTCATTAAGTTTGAACCGGCGGGTGATTCGTGCTTTTGATGTGATTTGAGGGCTCGACTAAGTTTGTATGGTGGTTTAAGACTTTTTGGTATTGTTGGTTGAGGTCCTGGGGGCTTCGGGTTGATTTCGGATGGTTAACGGATCAACTTCGATTTTGGAAGAATGGCTGAAGTTGTTGCACCTGTTGTAATCGCACCTGCGCAAGTTTGACCGCAAGTGCGAGCTCGCAGAAACGAGCCTAGGGATGCGGGTGCGGTTTGGAAGGAGGAGGCTATAGGTCGTAGGTGCGAGAAGGAAACCACATTTGTGCAATCGCAGATGCGAAAGCTTGAGCGCAGAAACGGAGAAGCCTGGGAGGCTTGGGATCGCAGAAGCGGAAGGGTCTCCGCAGAAGCGAGATCGCAGGCGCGGTCCCTGGTTCGCAGAAGTGGAAACCCTGGCCATAAGTGGAATCCGCACCTGTGATGGAAATTCCGCAGGTGCGGTGTTGCAGATGCGACTAAGAGCCTATATATGCGAAATCGCTGGGCAGAAAATGGATAAGATCGAGGGTTTTATCCCATTTTTAATTTTGGGACTTTGAGAGCTCGGATTGGGCGATTGTTTGAGGGACTTTTAGAGAAAGCTTTTGGGTATCAATTCTTAACTCCTTTATGGTTATATTCCACTAATCTATGGTTGATTTCATCATCTAATTAAGGAATTTGGCTAAAAATTAGGGGGAAAAATGGTAGAAGTTCTTCAACTAAGATTTTGGGATTTGATTGGGATTTCGATATCGGATTTGGATAATTTTTATACGAGTGAACTCATTAGTGAATGGGTGTTCATATTTGTGACTTTTACCTGATTTCGAGACATGGGCCCGGGGAGACTTTTAGGCTTGTTTTAGCTTTGATTTCATTGACTATATTAGTTTCTTATAGTTATATTTATGATATGTAATTAATTTTTGCTAGATTTGGGCCAATCGGAGCCGGATATTCGTGGAAAAGGCATTAATGTCGAGTGATTGAGCTTGGTTCGAGGTAAGTGGCTTGCCTAACCTTGTATGGGGAAACTCCACTTAGGATTGGTACTGTTGTGATATGTAAGCGCCGTGTGCGTGAAGAGACGAGTGCGTACACGGGTTATTTGTTGTAAAACTCCATTTTTTCACTAAGTAATAACATGTTTTACTTTAATTGAGTTATACTAGCATATGTAGTTATCATGTTTAGTTTAGAATAGCATGTCTACGTGTCTTAATTGCTTATCTGAACTCTGTGCAGCATCTTTAGTGAATTCCCTACTTCTTCCTTGACTTGTACTTAGTCTAAATTGTAGTATTTCGTGTTCTAGGCATTATTTCCATCGTTTGAGCTGTGTATTTACTTTTGGACTACGAAACGGTGTTTCAGGAGATCCCCCTGCATATTTACTTTTAGGACTACGGAACGGTATTCCGAGGGATCCCCCTACATATTTACTTTGGGACTACGGAACAGTATTCCGGGAGACCCCCCTGCATATTTACTTTGGGACTACGAAACGGGATTCCGGGCTGCACATTTACGTTTGGGACTACAATACGTTATCTCGGGAGATCCCCTCCTACTATGTTGTGTATTGTACTATATAGCTTTCTGTGATTTCCTTCCGGTTAAATTCAGTCTTTATTTTACTGCGATATTTTTTAATCCGTCTTATTTAATAAATATATACCAGTAGGGCCTTGACCTGACCTCGTCACTACTCGACCAAGGTTAGTGATAAGTAGGGATTTTAACGTGTTTTATGCTCCTACTTGCCTATCCTTTGAATATAAATTGTTACAAAATAGTCCCAAAAGGCTCATAAGTTGTGCTTGATTGCAGGTTTGATCGACAAAGTGACGAAATGTCAAGGATCGGCTCAAAAAGGAGTGAAACCTGCTCAAGTATCAAAGACCAAGAAAACTGAGGGCAAACAAGCCTAGTTCGGACCGCGCAAAGTCGAATGCGGCCGCACTAGATGGTTCAGAGAGTTGGCAAAAGTGGGCTTCAGGCACCGCGACCGCAGTACACATAGCGCGGTCCGCACTGGCCCACCGCGGTCGCACTACCTTTTTGTGCGGTCCGCGGATAAGAGATTCAGAGAGATGGAATTTTGCCCGGTCCAAGCCATGCGGTCCACGGTCGTGATTGTGCGGATCGCGCCAGCTGCCTTCGCGGCCGCGGTCCATTCTACATGGCCCGCGGAGCCCAAGTTCAGAGAGCCCAGAATTGAAGTCAAAGAGCCTCGCGCGGCCGCGGTCCATTTCATGCGGCCCGCGTGACCCCGCAGGGGTATTTTTGTCCAGTTTTTCCAGCCTAGTATAAATAGAACATTTTACCATTTTTAGGTCATCAGTTATTTCCAGACTTTGGGCTGCATTCGTGAGACTCATTTTGTAGCCATTTTTGGCATCTTAGCTTCAAATTAACGATAGATTCTTGTACTTTAATTTAGTGTTTAATTAATATGTCTTGTTCTTCATCTATTTCTTCATTTTCTCCTTCAAGCATGAGTAGCTAAACCCATTAGCTAGGGTTGTGGCTCAACCCTCGTGTGGGTAATTGATGGGTGTTGCCGTCTAGGGTTAGGTTGACTATGAGTGTTTGCTATTTGGGTTGATTTTATGCTTTAATCTATAAATTAGTGATTGCAAACACTGATTTGTGCTTTGTGGATTTGACTCTTCTTGAGAAAGAGAGTCTAAGTCTCCAAAATTGACCCAACAAGGAATTGGGATGGACTCATGAGAAATGATAGTCCCAATTAACGGGTTAAACCTCGAGAGAGTAATCACCCTACTTGAACCCTAGTTGCTTGATCTAATTTGCCTACCCATTTAGTCTTGAGAGAGTCAATTGGGCAAAATCACTCTCTCTACCGAGAGGTGTGAGAGTGGGTAAAAATGTGCAACGGTTATAGCATAAGCCCCAATTATGTCAATCGAGCCTTAGTAACATATATCAGTCAATTAGCCACCTAGGTGATGTCACGACCCTAGTGCCCTTCTTCCCATTAGATACAACCTTAGCAATTATTTCATAGCATAATCTGGTTTCAATTAGTAGTTTGATAATAGTAGTTTATAATTGAAAAACCCAAAAATGTTGGAAGTGACATCTAGAACAATTACACGACTCTAGTCTAGATAGATACCCAGCTCCAATTTCTAGCTCTCTGAGGAATTCGATCCCAACCCTCATATCGGGTAAAAGCTATTGCGACCCTCTCGTGCTACCTTTCATTGGTGCGGAGTAGGCATCGATCAACTTTTTAGCGTCGTTGCCGGGGAGCTAACGGTTTTGGCTATCTATTTAGTTAGTTTTGTGTGTTGTTCTTCTTTCCTTCCTTCTTACTAATTTTTGTGTGTGATTACTACAGGTACCCAATGGCTTTAAACGCGAACGACCCTCTTGGAAACGTGCTTGCGGGGGAGGAGGTAGATGAAATTGGAGAGGATGAGGTGCCTCTTGTACCTCCCGGACCAAGACGAGGCCGCCAGGCCAATGCTAATGACAATGTTCCAGACCCTCCCCCGCCACCTCCAAGAGCGGTCTTTAGAGTGTTACCAAATAAAGGGTACGCGAGTGCTATAGTCCTTCCCAGAATCCGGGCGGGCAATTTTCAGATAACCAATGTGATGTTGACCTTACTTGAGCAGCGTGGGTATTTCACGGGCGCTGCGGATCAAAACGCCTACAAACAACTAAAAGGATTCGTGGATACATGTTGGGGTAGCAAGCAGACGAATGTGTCCGAAGATGCTCTTAGGTTGAGACTTTTCCCGTTCTCACTCCCGGGAAAGGCATTAGATTGGCTAGAGAGACTCCCCAATCATTATATCACAACTTGGGATGAGTTGGCAGATAAATTTATTGCTAAATTCTTCTCACCCGGGCATATGGCGGCACTTCGAGATGAGATATTG